AGTCTCCAGCTTGGCTGCCTGCCTCCAGACCCTTTTGCCTACAGTTTACTCTTCACATTCTTTACAAGAGTAACCTTTCCACCAAGCTGGTACAGTAATGTCCCTCCTGCCCAGAGACCTTCAGTGGCTCCCTACTGCTCGGAAGAAAATCAAGTCTTTCCTAGTAGAAAACATTCAAATAACATCAACCATGCATAATGAGTAGCAGGGATATGACTCTGAGTATATACACTAGGGGATTTTATACATTTATTTACGTAGTTACACACTATTTAGTAAAATCAATTTGGCAAAAGTGCTTTAGCCCAAAACAAGTTGGTTGAAGTGATGATTTGATTGAAAAAGAATATCCCCAGAAGCATTTCTGCCACCTTTTTTTTAGACTTTGAGTTTTCCCTTGCCCTTTTTGTTCTCTATAGCTTATTTTCATCCAGCTGTTCCTACTGTGTGCTTTTTAGAACATCAGACATTTTGAAACAGCCTAAATATCCAGCCTACACACAGCTCTAGCAATAAGTCACCAAACTCTAAACAAATTGTAAAATATTATAAAATGTAAAATGTATGCACAAGTGCTATATATGGTGACTTTATAGTTCTAGAACCCTAAATTGGTTCCAATTTGCAAAATTTATAAAGTCATGAAAACATTGCCAAACAAGATCTGCTGTAATTAGATAAAAATAGTTCTGAAAAAAAAACCCAAATTCTATAACTTTTTTTGAGCTACTTCTTTTGTAGTTTTATTTTCTTTTTACAAAGCCAATTTAAATTATGACCGAAAAATAAGAAAAGGCAGACAATTACACACACACATGCGCATACAACCCATGGTGTCTCCCTACTCAGTGATAGCTACTTCTAGATCTTCTAGTAAAAACTGAATAATATGATGCATATTATTTGAAAGAACTGCATTTAATTTATGCAGTCCTCCACTGTTGAACATCTAGGTTGAGTTCAATAAATCCCATATTTTATGCATTTAAGTTTTTACGACTTTTTTTGCTATGAGTAGCAGCACAAAACAATAATAACTAGATAAAATTGATCTGAAATAGAAAATGAAAGGTTTGGGCAAAACTGCCCAGGATTCTGAAAAATGGTTTTAAAAATGTTTAAAGACACAAAAGTTGTAAAGCCCCAAAGCACACTAATACCTGTACAACAGAACCCAAGTTGGTGAGATATATTTATCTTCAAACAAATCCTCATCTTTAGCTGCTTTTGGCAAATCATCTGCAGCCTTTCAGGTTGTGAGGATCTTTAAGAAGTAAATTACTTCTTGCCCAAGATGACGGGTTTCCCCTCCTAAAATGCCTTTTGACTAAGAACAGATAACAGCAATTTGCTGCATCTGTTAGTATGGCAAACTAGCAGAAACATATCTGAAACTATATTATTTGTTCCACTGGTGATAAGGAATGGGCTTCTCTCTATAATTTCTGATCAGGATCATAGCACCAAGTAGCAAATCTAATAATTTGTATCCACTTCCCTTCCAAGCTCATTTAAAAACATTAGGTGCAGGCTCTTCTGTTAGCCCTCTGGTCATCTTTACCCTAATACTACATTGTCTTGATTACTGTAACCTTAAAATTCTTAAAATCAGAATGTTACTTCTCCAACTTAGAGAAAGTTGTTTTTCAAAGTTGTTTTGGCTATCCTGGGTCTTATGCATTTCCATGCGAATTTTGGAATCAGTTTGTTAATTTTTGCAAGAAAGCTTGTGGAATTTGGACTTGGGGGCGGAATATGGTTACCTTAGCAATACTGAATTGTCCAGCCCATGAGCATTGTATATGTCTCCATTTGTTTAGGTCTGCTTTAATTTCTCTCAGCAGTGGTTTGTGGTTTTTAGTGTAAAGGTCTTTCTCATCTTTTGTCAGATTTATCCATAAGTGGTTCATACTTTTTGATGCTATTGCAAAAGTTGCATATATTTTTAAGTTTCAACCAATTGCTCATTGATAATGGATAGAAATATAATTGGTTTTCATGGACTGATGTTTTGTCTACGGTGACCAACACTTATATGAACATCTGATGTTCAAAATAGGTGTAAGAGCAATTCCGCTGAGATCATCTTTTCAACAAATAGTGCTGGGACAGTTGGATATCCATATGCAAAAAACCCTGAAACCAAGCCAACATGGAACTTTCAAATCACACTTTATATTATATAAAAAATTAATTCAAAATGATTCACAGACAGAAATGTAAAATCTTAAAGCTATAAAACATCTAGAAGAAAACCTTTGTGACCTTGAGTTAGGCAAAGATTTCTTAGAGATGACACTGAAACCGTAATACATAAAAGAAATAAACTGAACTTAAAGTTAAAATTTTCTCTTCTTCATCAGACACTGTTAAGAGAATGAAAAGACAAGCCACAGATTCTGAGAAAATAGTTGCACATTGTATCTGATAAAGGTCTTGTATCCTAAATATATAAAGAACTCTTGAAACTCAATAATTCAACAGCTCAGTTTTTAAAAGGGCAAAAGGTGGAACCAGATGCTTTAGCAAAGAAGACGTATTTGATGGCAAATAAGCACATGAAAAGATGCTCAACATCACTGGTTATTAGGAAAATGCAAATTAAAAACTATGAGAAGAAAATACAAGAGTCCACTACACACCTATTAGAATGGGTACAAATAAAGAGATTGGCCAACCACACACACACACACACACACACACACACACACACAGATTGGTAAATATATGAGGTGATGAATGTGTTAACCTTATTGTGGCAATCAGTCATTTCACAATATGTACATATACTAAATCATCATGCTGTACATCTTAAGCTTACACAATGTTATATGTCAATTATATCTCAATAAAGCTGGAAAAAAATTTTCAAGGAAAAAAAAAGAAAGACTGGCCCTACCAAGTGCTGACAAGGATGTGAAGGCATTGGAACTCACACACCACCGGTGAGAATGTAAAAATTAAACACACACATGTCATATGATTCAGCCGTTCTGCTCCCACTGTCTCTACCCAAAAGAAATGGAAGCCTGTGTCCACACAAAACTGACATGTGAATGTTCATAACAGCTTTAAGTGTAACAGCCCCAAACCAGAAACAACCCAGACGTCCAATAACAACCGAGTTGGATGAACAAAATGCTGTGATACCCATGCAATGAAATACTTCTCAGCAATAAAAAGGAATGAACTATTGATACAGATTACAAGATGGAGACAGAATTCTCAGAGCAATTACTATGACAAAGTAGCCAGACAAGAAAGAGTACATTTTGTATGACTTCATTTATATAACATTCTAGAAATGACAGCAAGTCAAAAGTGACTGAAATCCCACGGTAGTGGCCTGGGGGATAGGGCTCGGTGGGAGATAAGCGTTACTCAGGACAAGAGGAAATTTTGGTAGTGATGATTATATTTACCTTCATGATCGTGATGGTTTCATGAGTGTATACATTTACCTCTAAACGTATCAAATCATGCAATTAAATGTATGAAGTTTATTATCTATTGTCTCTCACTAAACCTGTTCAAGAAACACTGAGAAACACCAGGAGCTGCAGAATAGTAGCAGTACCTTTGTGAGGTCAAAAACAAGGCTGTGGGCGGTGAGCTTTGGAGGTCTTGCCTGCAGAGTTCTCTGTACTTGCTGGGCTCTGACTAAAGCTGCATCTCACTTTCACACTGTGCTGGTCAAGTTGCCCCAGTCGTCTAGCTACTGGGCACACTGGCTAGGGAGATGAGAGGAACGCCCAGGTCACCAACATAAGTCAGATTCTCAGATGGGGTGGGGGGGAATCCATAGTCTCAAGAAAATAAAACTTCATGAAACCCTGCAGAGCTACAGGGTTCACACCAAGCCAGCAAGCAGCTACTGTGGGTGGATACCTCTGATCAAGTACTCGGTGGATAGATTGGCCCGACTGGATGTAAACTATTGGGAGTCCTGCCTTAAAACACACACACACACACACACACACACACACACACACACACACACACACACACACACGAGAGAGAGAGAGAGAGAGAGAGAGAGAGAGAGATATCATGGGGTTAACTAACTCTTGGAGAATCTATGAGTGGGCTTTAATGGGTCCCGGGCCCCCAAACTAGATGCATGTGCATTCACGCATTTTTCTGGGGAGAGGGTTCCTGGCTTTCATCGGACCCTCAGATTGCTCCCTGACTGTAAGAAGCGCCAACAAGGATAAAGCCAGACCATCTATCCTTTCTCCTCCCTCCTCTCTAGCTCCCCGGAATGAAAACCTATGAGTCACTCATTCGGTTCTTCCTGCGTAGATTACATTTATGCGAACTACGTTCATCTGGAATACACCGAGCCACCACTGGCTTTATTTCTTCCCCCTTTGCCTGACAGCCCCACCACTCCCGCGCCCTTCCACGCCCTTCCACGGTTTCCTGCTGCTTAAGAAGTTGGAGTGGTTTCCAGGTCCCTCGCGAGTGCAACCTGCCCAACACGTTTTTTCTCCTCAGAGACGCAGTCTCTACCCCATCCTGCCGCCACCCATTCGTATTATTCTCTTTCGTTTGAGGGTAGAGAGCAGGTCGCTTTCCTCGGACCCCTGTGGGCACTGCACGCGGTGCAGCGTCTGCACAGCTTTCCTCGTGGGGCTCGGAGAACCGCCTCCACGCATTTCTCTCAACTGCTGGGAGACTCCCACCCGGAACCCCCACTGCAAACCCCGCGCCTTCCCTTCGCCTCGGACACCGCGAAGACGTGGAACCCAAAGCCTGGCCACACGTCTCCCTTCCCTGGGTGACCCCGCAAGCTGCGGTGGGTCGGCTCCTGGCGCTGCGCTCCCCACCGCTTCTTCCACGTGTCCCCGAGCGCGGGCGCAGCGCCCGGTCCCCTCTTCCCCGCGGGCGCAGCGCCCTTTCCTGGGCGCCGAGTCGCGGCCGCGGTAGGTGGGGCGCCCCGGCCGCCCCCCGTCACGCCGCGCCCCCCTGCCGCGCCAGGGACGCACGCCTCTCCCTACCCGGCGTCGCCGGCCCGAGAGTCAGCAGCAGCTGCAGCAGCGACAGTAGCGCGGGGAGGGCGCTGACCCTGCAGCCAGACAGCCGCCACCCGGCCATGGCCCGAGCCGGGCCCTGGGCTCGCCGCGGCCCGGACGCCCCGCCGGCCGCGCGGGCAGATGCCCGACAGTCCCGGAGGAGGTGGCGGGCGCAGCTCCCGGGACTTGCTGTCCCGCGAGTCGCATTCGCTTTCGCTTTTGCTTTAGCCCCCGGAGGGCTGGGGAGAGGTGAGAAGCAGTGACAGATCCGTGACTCAGCATTCCCACCCCCTCCTCTCGAAAAAGCCCCGGCCGCCGCCGTGCCCCCAGCGCAGCCACCCGCGTCCCCGGAGCGCCGCTGGCTGAGCGGAGCGGGGACCCTGACCGTCTCCTGCAGAGGCCTGGGGTCCTCCCCCTCCTCTTCTCTCCTCGGCCCTGGGGACCCCAGAAGTAAGTCCATTTGGTCCTGTGTCCCGTCTCAGAGGGAGTCGGCACCATCGGGAAGCAAACTCTTACCAGTGAGCACGGCGGGTGGGCGTTCACACCTGCTTCTGCGGCGCCGGGTCACTTCCCTGCGCTTGTCTCCGCCTGTCACTCGGACTTCGACGTCCCAAGTGTCCGTGCTCTGCCGGGCTGGCGGGCGAGTGGCCCTGTGCGCCACTGGTCCCTCCGGTCCGGGTGGCCGCGGAGGTGTCGCCGCTCTGTGGCTGGTCGGGAGTCCTGCCCCCTGTGCCACCTGCTCACGCCTGCCTGCTGCATCCCTGGCAACAGCACTTTGCCTTAATCCAGTCGCGAATTTCTTCCCCAAGAAAATGTCAGACCCTTGAAGGGGGCGCGGGAGGGAGGAGAAGGCGAAGGGCCTGACAGTTACTCCTCTCCGCGCCTTAGTGCCTCTCTTCGGACGAGTTCTCCTCTGCCGTCTTGCTCTTTTGCGGGTGGGGTTTTTTGTTTTTTCCTTCCTTTCTCGGGATCTCAAGTGAAGCCTGACGTTATTAAAGACCCGTCTGTAATGAGAAAGCTCCAGGTGCACAGTCAGAAATTCCCGGTTATAGGACTGAAGTTAGGCAAGACAAGGCATCTCTGGGCTGCAGTCTGTTCCCCCCAGTGGTAACATCTGGAATCACTCTAATATAGTATCACAACCAGGAAACTGACCTTCATGAAGACCCACAGGCCTTCAGCAGATTTTGTCGGTTTTCCATGCATGCATTCACAGGGGTAGTTAGCTCAGTGCAGGTCTGTCACACACGGATCCGTCTGTGACCACACTGTCAGGACAGGGCACAGGACCCGTGGCAAGGATCCTTCCTCCTTCTCTGTTACAGCCACAGTCACCTTCCTCTCTCAGCCTCTTTCGAAGCCCTGGCAACCACTGATCTATGCTCCATCCCTAGGATTTTGTCCCTTGAAGAATGCTTATAAATGGAATCAGCAGTTTGTAACCTTTAGAGGTGGGCTTTTTTTCCTCCCAGCGTAATCCCCTCAAGATCCCTTCAGGTTGTCCATTTGTCCAAACTATCTGTAGTTTGTTCCATTTATGAGTAGCACTGATGGTTTCTTTCTTCTTTTTTTTTTTTTAATGTAGGAATCTCTGCCGTCCACACTGCAACAACCCTGTACTTTTATACACACATAAGTTTCCTAGAGCTGCTGTAACAAAGTACCCAAACCAGGTGGCTTCACACAACACGAATTGACTCTCCCAGTTCTCGAGGCCAGGAGTGTTGGCCACGCCCTGCTCTCTTGGAAGGCTCTCGGGGCAGATCCCTCCTTGCCTCTTCCAGACTCTGGTGTCTGCTGGCAAGTCTCATGGTTCCTGGGCTCGCAGATGCATCTCTCCAGTTCCGTGGTAGTCTTCTCCCTGTGTATCTCCACATCATCTCTCTCTGTGTGTGTCCGTGTCTGAATTTCTCCTTTTTATAAGGATACCAGTCGTATTGGATTAGGACTCACCTACCCTAAAATAACCTCATTTTAACATAATGACCTCTGTAAAGACATTATATCCAGTAAGGTACTGGGGGTTAGGACTTTAACATAATTTTGGAGGTTGACACACTTCAAGAAGGTATCCTTCTTTCTGAAAACGGAGTCCAAGACCCGTTTTCTCAGGCCAAAGGAAATTGAAAGGAATGGCTGGATTCCTGAGGTACAGTGTCTACACTTCAGGGGTGATGCAGGTGGCAGTTCCTTCGGGGGCTCCAAATCAGCATGTCCAGACAGGGCTGGCGAACTTGGCCAGCAACCATCACTCAGAGGAGAGCTGGAGTTGAGAACCTTGCTGTGGGGCCAGGAAGGACAGTGGCTGGGGGCGGGGTCTTCAACTGTGTACAGTCCTCTGTGGGGGGGGTAGACAGCGGACCCTTGGAGCTGGAGGGCAAGCTGTCAGATTGTGTCACCAAGAAGGGGGTAGCTGGGGCTCAAGGCTAATGGATTCTTCCCTCTCTCTCTCTCTTTCTTTCTTTCTTTCTTTCGGCTTTAGAATCTTAAACTTTTAAATTCACATAACATGAAATTCACCATTTTTTAGTCTATAACTCAGTGGTTTTTAGGATATTCACGATATTGCCCAACCATCTCCACTATCTAATTCATTCCAGAATATTTCTGTCACCTCAAAAAGAAACCCAGTGTGTTAGTAGTCACTCCCAGTTTCTGTTCTCCTAGCCCCTGGTAACATCTAATCTACTTCTATCTCTATGGATTGCCTGTTCTAAATAATTCATATAAATGTAATCATAAAATATGTCCTTTTGTGTCTGGTTTCTCTCAGCATAATGTTTTCAGGTTTTGTCAGTGTTGTAGCATGTTATCAGTATCTCATTCCTTATTATGACTGAAAAATACTCCATTAGATGGATATTACATATTTTGTTTATTCATTTATCAGTTCATGGATATTTGAGTTATTTTCATTTTGGGGCTATTATGAGTAACTAAGTATGGTAGTGCAACCAAATGGTAGTGAAAATGGCCGTTAATGCGATGCATAGACCTTATTCAAATTTTGTGTTTTTTTTCCATGCATTCATTTGTTTGTGTGTGTGTTTAGCTCTATGCAGGTTTGTCTTATATGTGGACATTCATATCCATGCTTTTGTGTAAACATGTTTTCATTTTGCGGGGGTTGTGTGCCCGGGAGTGGAATTATTGGGTCATATGGTAATTCAACGATTCTTGGGCGCTTGGGTGGTTCAGTCAGTTAAGGGTCTGCCTTCAGCTCAGGTCATGATCCTGGGGTCCTGGGATCGAGTTCCGCATCAGGCTCCCTGCTCGGCGGGGAGTCTGCTTCTCCCTCTCCCCCCGCCCCCGCTCATGCTCTCTCTCTCTCAAGTAAATAAATTTTTAAAAAAGATTTTATTTATTTGACACAGAGAGGGACACAGTGAGAGAGGGAACACAAGCAGGGGGGATGGGGGAGGGAGAAGCAGGCTTCCCGCTGAGCAGGGAGCCTGATGAGGGGCTCGATCCCAGGATCCCGGGACCATGACCTGAGCCACCCAGGTGCCCCTAAGTAAATAAATTTTTAAAAATCTTAAAAAAAAAAAGATTCTTGAAGGACAGGAAGAAGACTCATGGAACCATTTAGGCAGTAGGCACACTAGATTCTCAGACTGGGGGCTGATGCATTTCTGGTGCTCACCAGGTGGTGGTGTACAGCACTGTGGGAGACACAGACTTAGGAACTACGAGACCAGCATAAGGGCATCCAGCTGCTGTGGCTACCCTGGGGAAACCAAGGTGCGTGGCAATGAGGTGAAGGGAATAAAAGAAAACTACTCTACCCGTAGAAGGAGTTTTGCTCAAGAACAGAAAACAAAAACAAAAGATGTAAGAGGAAAGAATTGCTTCTCAGTACTCAAAATATAAAACAATCACATTTCCTTATTTTTGTAAGTCATATCATATCTGGCTCCAAGCTTCTACCTGCCAAGATCAACAAAAATCTGATATCAGTCTGCCAATTCCCCCTCACCCAAATAGCAAATGGTTCTTTTCCTTTCCCCTGTGTCTCACCAGGACCCAGTAGAAATAGGGAGAGGACTGTGACCTATGTGTTCTTGGTCACTCCTGATGGTCATTGTCCAGACCCACCCTCTGGCTTCTTGTCTTAGCAAATCTGCCTGACTCCCTTCTCTATAGTCCACCCCACCCCTCCAAAATGCTGTTTGTGCATCCAGTTATCCTCACAGACAGTCTAGGGTGGTTATCTCAATTAGCCTAGGTCTTCCTCCAGAACAGACCTATTTGGATTAGCCTTCCAATCAAATAAACAAACACCAAGGAAATTGCATCCCCTGGGAGGGAGAGCCCCAAATTCTAGTACACTAAAGTTTGCTGGTCTTGGGGAAAATCACTCCTTTCTTTCTTCCTTGTGATTCTTGGGAGCAAAAATCCCCAAGAAGTCAATTCATTTCTTGATAACTCACCCTGTTATATTCATCTGGAGCCTCATAACCATAACATAATCACTTTTGCAGTTGAAAAAATTATGCTATGAAATGGATTTTGAATTTTAAATATTTAAGCATGTCACAGTAGAGCGAGTTTAACAACTATTTAAAGTTGTTCTGTTTTTGGGGGGCGGAGCAAGATGGCGGAGGAGTAGGAGACCTGGATTTCGTCTGGTCCCAGGAATTCAGCTGAATAGGGATCAAACCATTCTGAACACCTAGGAACTCAACAGGAAATCGAAGATAAGAATAGCAACGACACTCTGAACAGAAAAGCTTTCTGGAAGGTAGGACGTGTGGACAAGTGAATCTGAGGCGATATTCGGGAGGATAGACGGCGGGGGAGGGGGCCTCCGTCGGCCGCTTCTGGCGAGTGATAGAGCTGCAGAGCACAAAATCAGAACTTTTAGAAGTCGGCTCCGTGGAGGGACGTCGCTCCAGTGGCTAAGCGGGGGATGGAACCCTCGCGGGACAGTGTGATCTCAGGACCTTCGGGGTCACAGAAAGACCAGGGGTGCCAGAGTGCGGCAGAGCTCCCAGGGATCGGAGCAGGGAAGCCGGCTGCAGAGACGGAGCCGAGGTGCGGGCTCTCAGCTTGGGGTTGCTATAAACTGTGATCCGTGGCCCAGTCGGGCCACTGCTCCTCCAGCAGGGACCCAACAAGCGGCAGATTCGGGGACACTCCCCTTCCTCCCCCGGAAGGAGCGGCGCAGGAGCGCACCGCAGGGAT